GCCTGGGACACAGGTGGAAACTTTTCTATTAAGCTCATCTATCAGTAATATTACAATTAAAATTACTGTAAAGTAGAGTAATGGTTCAAAAAGTACAGTCCACAGATGCTTGAGGATGTCCATGAATCCATCCAAAACTCAAAGGTTGGATGGATAGATCCATTCAGGATGGGGAGAAAGCAGGGAAAATGCTGGAGGACTTACTAGCACAGCCATGCCAACTCCAGCTTAAAATTATTACCCAGATTATCACGCCATGGTCTGTGCCAGCTGGGATAGGAAATCCTAAGGTTGATATCATGATCTCCAATTCTTGGCTGAGGTGTAGGAGAACCCCTGGGCTGGAGGGAGGCAGCACGGAAAGCCTCACTGAGGGAAGGGGATGCAAGTTCCCTCTCAGTGTCTGAACCCTACTCTTGTCTACTAAAATCCCCAGGTCCCATACATCCTATTGCACAACATGAAATGACAAAAAAATTGGAAATTATAAGACGTGAGTCAAAAAATGACGTTCAATGGGAGGGCATAGTGTTACTCACAATGGCAAGAATAATACATAAGTGTGATACCTCAAAGTTGATAAAAGTACTTATTAATATCTGATTTCTTAAAGTCCTACAAAACCCCTTTGAGGTGATTTGGTCAGCAATAGTCCCCATTAGAGGCTCAGAGAAGACTGATTCAGTCCAATATTGGCAGTTGATCATAGCAAATCCACATCCTCCAGTATCTCACCTTTTCCACTCACTGCACCAAGCATATGGTCTAAAACGTCTTTTGTTCAATTAACGTCATCCTGGAAAACAGTTTAGGCCATTGTTTTTTAATCACAGATACATTTCATAAGTCATTTCTATTTGTTACAAATTTGTCACAAGTTCAATAAAACCATATATATTCATATGACATAATATGTTATTTATTCAACAGCCAATTAGATTATAATGAAAACATACCAGTCTGATTACATAAGAAAGCAGGAGGACAGCAGAACACAGAAGAAAATATGACAATCCTCTACAAAAATTAGAATATAAATTTATCATTGAACAAATGAATGAATCTATAACTAACAATGATATTTACTGTGCCACATTTGCTTGACTAAGAAAGATAAATTGCCATGTAACTGGATTTCCAAAGTGTGTAGGTGCTGATGTGAGTATAGACAGCTACCATGGGAACAAAGTACAAGCACTCAACTTACCAACAAATTGACTCCAAAAATTGAGTTGGAACTCAGGCTTATTTTTCAAAAAGGAATATTCTAAATTTGGGGTTTTCGAGGTAGTTCACAGAGCATGTTTAATCCATATCTAGCTAAACTATGGCAGCAAGACCTTCATGGAATCTAAGAATCATTTAAAACATGGCTGCTAAAGGACGGCTATTCAGGGTGCAAATTCAAGAGGCCAGAGACTGATCACTACCTACCCACCCTCCTGACATTTATCCTTGTCCTCCTTTCCCCACACCTTCCTTCCAGCCTCGGCTCCCAGCAGACACTAATAACTATTTCTTGAATATTAGCAAAGAACAACGAAGAGTGCCATCCCCTCCCTTTTGCCCTGACAGCAGGCTCAGAGGTGGTCTGCAATGGTAGGAAGCTCTGGCAAGACAAATGGAGCAGGGCAGGGAAGACAGTAGTGGTGGCTGAGGGGTAGTGAGGTGGGAACAAATGGTCATGGCTCCAATGGAAAAAGGCTCTGCCCCATGGACACAGACAATTTGAAGATAGGGGTCATTCATGAGTCAGGCATCAACATTTTGAAAAGTTCCTATCTTGTTTCTTGAACAGAGTTTTTAATGAGTAACAGTAGCTAATGACTGCAGCCTAGCTGTACGTGGCCCTCACTCTGAGCTCCTCCCCAACCACCCAGTACAAGTCACCATCTTCTCTTGCCTGGGCCACTGCTGCAGTCTCCTAGCTGGTCTCCCTTCTATTCTTGCCACCTCTACGCCTTCCACACATAAACTGCATCCTACACATCATGCTCAACCCAGCAGCCAAAGTGATATTTCTAAAACATAAATCCGATCATGTCACATCCTGTTGGAACATTCCAATGGTTTTCAATTATCCTTGGAATAAAATCCAAATCATTGGGTGGTGCCTTACAAGGCCCCACCAGCTGGTACTTCTGATTTTATTCCCTACTTCTCTCCTCACCGCTCCAACATTCCAGCCACAGGTGCTCTGCTGGCTCCCACCATGGGGGTGGTAATACTATGGTTCCCTCTATCTGGAATGTTCTTCGACAAAATATGCTACCATCGCCCATCATTCCAGTCTCTGCTCCAATGTTACTTCCTCCCAAACACCCAATCTAAAAATCCCTTCCCCATTACTTTCTAGCTCATTGCCCTATTTTATTTTCTTAGAACACTTAATATTTGGTAATGTATTATTAGTCCACTTGTTAGTTCCATAAAGCAGCAAACGTATCTGTCATTTTCTCTTTCCTGAAATGGTCTAAACTGAGAAAACAAATCTTTCCTAAACTTTCTTCATCTAAATCACTCCAATTTATTTCAAGGGTCACTCCTATCCTCTTCCATACCCAACCACCCTCCACACATGTAGTTTGAATACAATGTTCTCTGGCACTCAGTTAATATTATAACTGCACTCATGTATTTCCTATTTGTTGTAATTAAGTGCTCATGAGGGAGCTTCAGCAGCAAAGATTTTATAAAAAGTTATCCTGAGTTTATAGAGGAGAGGAGGGGATGACTGGTGACCATGAGCTCCCCAAGCTCTCAAGTCTTCTTCCTTCCCTCCAGGGAACATCAGGTGCCTTCCAAAGGGCTTGTTTCAGTACCCACATGGCCAAACAAGAGAACCCTAAAGTCATACTCCTATGGCAGTAGCTGCCCCAGATTCCTCCAAGCCCCTGATACTAACATGCAGGAAAATGCCAGAAGATGCCTGGAACTCATCTCAACAAATCCTCTGTGGGATGAGGTTGACTTGGACCACTCCAGCATCTCTGGGATTCTTGCCTACTTTTGTGGTTGAGAGCATAAGCTCTGGAGCCTGACAGCCAGGGTTCGAATTTCTGCTTTGCCACCAACTAGCTATGTGACCTTGGGACGTCAGTTATCCCCAGCAATACTAAGTGTTCTGCAATAAGGGAAACTGAGTCCCTATAGGAATGACATTTCAGAATTTTTTTTTTTTAAGATTTTATTTTTTTCCTTTTTCTCCCCAAAGCCCCCCAGTACATAGATGTATATTCTTTGTTGTGGGTCCTTCTAGTTGTGGCATGTGGGACGCTGCCTCAGCGTGGCTTGATGAGCAGTGCCATGTCCGCGCCCAGGATTCGAACCAACGAAACACTGGACCGCCTGCAGCGGAGCGCGCAAACTTAACCACTCGGCCATGGGGCCAGCCCCAGAATTTTTTTTTTTTTTTAAGTTTACTCATCTGAAAAATGGGGATAATAATAGTACCTATTGTTAGGGTTATAATGTGGATTACATGAGTTAATTAATATATATAGAACACTAGCTATTATCATTATGATTCCTCAGCAAAATCTTTTGCTTTCCCTAGAATAAGTGAGAAAGGCCCCAAGAGTGATATGTACATGATATGAAATGTACATAAATGATCATCTAAATCCTTGGAAACAAAATGTATCTAAGAGAACATTTCGTAGGGCAACTGACCACAAAAGAAAAGAATCCATTTACTGATTTTTATATCTAAGGAGGAGTCTCAGAGCTCCTGAAGCTGTGGTCTTTAAAGACTAGAGCTTTCCACAGAATCACAGGGACATCTAAGAGGCAAGAACAGGAAAGAAACCATTGCTAATCCTCAAACTCTCACAACGAGCAATTCCACGTGTGACTGAAGTCAGTGAAATAAATGACATAAAAGTTTAAACAAAGCTTTCAATAGAAATTGTCTTTGGACATTTATAAAGGATTTGATTTCCCTTACTGCAGAAAATTTAGTAGCAATCAACTGATCAGCCGGTATTTATTCAACACATTATAGTGCACAAAGCGCTTAGGAAACGGAAAGAACTATATAAGATGGGAAACTTCTCCTCCAACAACTACAAAGGCACCTCGTAGAGCTTTCAAAAGATAGAAAACCGACTGGAAGGACTTTTAACTCTGAAAGGCATGCCCCTTATAGCCAAAAAGTTTGAGACCATCTCACCTGTACATAGTTTTGCTGTCAGCGAGTATTCTTGTCTAATGCTTGCATGCTGCGTTATAAGCACCAAAAACTGCTCAGGGCAGAGCAGAGCTATCAAAATTTCCAAAATATAGTTTAGTCTCCATCCACGCCCTCCCAGTGCCAGCACTATCACTTTATAGCACTTTAAGGGCTCTGCACAACCGATAGGAGATTTTTTGTGCTTTTATAGTTATCAGATTTAAATGAGTAGTAAGTCACAGGACCAAAAATTATTAACATCTAACATGAACCAGAACACCATAATTATCATAATTCATGCTTTTACACAGATATCAAATTCTCAAAGAACACAATTCATATGAACAATTATCTGGTACTCACTTGAAGACGAGTGATTTGGACATTTTCAAAAGCCTGTCATTTGAGACAGATGTCACAGCAATAATTCCAAAATGCTTTATCAACTCTGATCAGTCCTATTAATTTTGTTGTTACAATGCTGTTACCTTGAGTCTTTCAACACACTGTTTAACGAAAATAGCTGTCACTGTATCAGTACCTTGCCATTATTACACAGAAGGAAGTTTCTAACTACTGACTCCTAATTCCCTTTTTTCAGGCAAACAAATGTGACTACACCAAAGAAATAAAAGGAATTATTTTAGGGGAATATTGTAAAATTAAAAATCTATGAGGAAAAAATAGTGCTTCTTCAAACAAACATCTCAAGCTAAGCCTTACTGAAAGAGAACCACTGGTGCCTCAAAATTGTATACCACAATAATATCAATTAATTTGAAATTAGAAACACTTTAACAAGAAAATTCTGTCACTCTCTGTGGCTTACCTCATCATCTTTATACCAGGACAAGCTTTCAGCAGTAAGGACGAACCAGTAACCCTTGGAGCCTCCTTTCATGATGCCAATGTTGCTGATGGTTAGCCACCCCTTGCGAATCACCTACGAGAGAGCACAGATCAGCAAAGAGGTTAAGTTCACAGGAGCCAATGGACAGCACCGGTCTTGCCCAACTAAAGTTAAAAACAAGATACAAATGGCAATAAGAAGAGCATTGTTTCCCCAAAGCTCAACCTCTATTAAGCTATTTAACATAATTTATCTTCCCAAACTACAGATAACCAGAGGGAAGTCTCTCCCATCAAATGAATGAAATCAAAATCGCAGGCTTATATGGATGGCAGAAGCAGAGCAACTGAAACAAACAAGAATGAAAGGAGGCAGACTAACAGGCTTGTGCCAGACCTATTTATGAGAGTGCTGCTACAATTAAAACATATTTAGTTGATTGGATGAACAATAGACCCTCCGTGCCCATAGCCTCTTCTCCCCTTCCAGCCCACTGGCCCATTAGTTTGCCTGGTTTGCATCTCATTAAGATTTCCACCAGAGACTGGCCACCAAATGATGAAAAGAAGAAACTCAAGCCAACCAATTAATTCCTTGTTAACAGCTCTGAATAAGGCCAAATGAAAGAGAAAGCTGAAACAATAGCTAAAATTAAAAGTTCGGTTTTTTAATGATCTATATTTGTCCATCTACTTCTGGTTGTTATTTGCCATACTAAAAAATATGCAGCATCTTCATAAAAATCTTTAGACAGCTTTTAAATTTTAAAATGTCAACAACTTGGATTATAGATTTGATAGAAACTATCTATAAACGGCATTCAAGTGAAAATCTATTTTTTCTCACAGTTGTTATAAAGTTAAATTCTGTTTTCCATATGGCATGCTTTACCATCTCCTCTGTGCTAGATAATTTTTATTGTCATAGAAGCAGAAATGAAATACTACATGGAATTGTATGATATTGTTGTAAGTGTCAAAAGTCCCATACCTAAATGGTTCAAAATCCTAGATATTTAAAAACTTACTTATTGAATGACAAATGAGTGTAGTTCCTAAAGGAAGATGAAAATCCTAATAATCAGATTTTTCAAAAATATTGATATTAAGTTTTCTTGTTGAAGAAGGAAAGTCAATCCTAAGGAAAACTGTGAAATAAGCCATGGTTGTCATTACTGATCCCCCAAGCCTCTCTCCATACACTTCTGTCCCTGCCTCCCTTGATGCCCTGCCTCAGCATCTCCCAAGTGTCCATTCTCCCCTATCTAATAATGCTCTGCAACTTTTACAGACCCCTGTACAGAACCCCACTCACTGGCAGACCGAGCAGTTCTCACTCAGACTAAGCAGTTCTCTCTATTGTTCAAAATTACTCTTTCGTCTTACCCTCTACTTCAGAAAGATGGAAACAATACTTCTCAAAGTATAGCTTCTACCAGCTATATTATAAGCATTTGGATCTTTCTAAAAATACAGATTCTTGGGCCACTTACCAGTCCAAATGAATCAGAATATGTACCTATGAAACCCAGGAATCTAGATGTTAACATGTTCCCAAGGCGATTCTTCTTTTTATTATTGAGGTAACATTGGTTTATAATGTTATATAAATTTCAGGTGTACAGTATTATAATTCAACTTCTGTATAAGGTGATTCCTGTTCATACTGAAGTTTGATGATGATTGCCTGTACACATACAATCGAATCTTCATTCTCCTTAGAGCAAATCTCACCTAATCTTTAGTAAGAAGGAGCTCGTTAAATTATTTCACACTAACATTGTTACCCACCCTACTAGGACTTACAAATAGCATAACAATCATGGTACTAAATGAAAGTACACTTATTCCATTTTATCAAGTATCGTTGGATAAAAAGGAAGTCTTCCAGATACTCCACAAACCGCAATAAGCAAATCACTACTATTTCACCCACTGGTAGAACAGGATGGCTCCATCAAGGAGAGCCATGAATTACAAACATTTCTTAAGAAGCTACTATGTATCAAGACGAAAAAGAGCATTATGATGCCACAATCTCTGCCCTCAAGAATCTTATAGTTTAGTAGGGAAGGCAGATCCATAAAGAGATAATTTCAATATAACTGTGTAGTAAGAGATGCATGCCAAGCAAAAGAAGGGGAACTCATCACAACGTAGGAAGCTATAATAGGCTTTCCTTAAAGAGATGGTACTTCAGAAGAGCCTGGAAGAGAAACAGAATTAGTCAGGTCAGAAAGTAGTTTGTTTATCTGTTTGTTTACCTATATGAGGAAGGACAAAACAAGAATAAAATACGAAAGAGCCACTTAGCACAGCAAATGTGAGGTGGAGATGAAGAAGTTGAAGCAGGTGGGGTAGTCAGAGTGAATCCAGTTCAATGAGACCCCAAATGTTAGTGATCTCACTCCCCTGGAAGTACTAAAATAAATTTTAAGGACATATGTAAATTTATTTTTAAATTATATATGACCATTGTATTAATAAATTATGCACATCATAGAGAAATATACAGAGAAATTTGAAAGTATGACATGAAGATGAAATTAATAATATTTAATGTTTTTATTTTGTGGGGGAAATCTTATTTTATTTGTTACATTTATCACTTTATTAATGACTTAGAGATACGAGGGACATGGTATCAATATCTACATTAAATATTAATAAATCTGAACTGTTTTCTTATTTTCTAGATAAAAATACACATAAGTAGATGTTCTACTGTATCCTCCTGCATTCCAGTGGGTTTGCATGCTCCCTGGGGCAGAGACACTAGGTTATGTAAGATACTACAATAACCCAAGTGAGAAATGTCCAAGGTGTGAACTAAAGCCATGATGTAGTAAGGATGAAAATAAATGAACCTACTGGAGAAACACCTAGGAGATAAAATCAACAGGACTTATGACTGGATGAGAGGGAGACTGGTGAAGGTACAGACTCCAGAACTGCACTGTACAGTAGCCATTAGCCACACACGCTCAGTGAGCCCCAGTGACTAATTTCAATTCAGACGTGCAATGTGTAGAATGCACACTGGATTCTGAAAACTTTGTACGAAAACAATAATGTAAAATATCCTGTTACATGCTTCAATCTTTATCACAAGTTGAAATTACAATATTTTGGATATATTGGATAAACAAAATCTATTTTTAATATCCATTTCACCTACTCCATTTTAATTCTTTTAACGCGGCTACTAGAAAATTTTAAATAATATATGTGGCTTGTATTATTTTTGTATTGGACATTGTGCTGTTCTAGAATGATCTGAAATTCTTGGGGCTACCAACACAGAAGAAATAGAGGAATAGAACTAAGTTTTGTAAAGTGGGTGAGCTGATGGTGAATTCAGCCAAGCCCATGTCGAATCTGAGGTACCTGTGGGAAACAAGCATGTAAATGAGCTGACCTCTGAAGCAAAATGGAGATGTTAGGACTGGAGATGCAGACGGCAAGTCATCAGCATATATATATATATATACGGCAGTTAAAACTTTGAGTGAAATAGCGGTGGCTCATGGTGGAATCCTGGGGAAATACCAACATTCAAGAGGTGGTCAGAAAAGAGTCTGAAAAGGAATGTCAGAGAAATAAGAGCAATAAGGTCATGGAAGCCAACGCAAGGTGAATTTCAAGGAATATGTGGTTGGAAGTGTCAAATTCAGCACAGAAAGGGATGTGTGAAGTGCAATGCAGACGTGATAGTGTCTTAAGCAATGCCAGCTGCAGTGCACTGGTGGGATAAGTCAGAATTCACCGAGTTGAGAAGTGAATGGGAAGTAAAAAAACCAAGACAATGACTTCAAGGAGCTCTATCCAGAGGAGGATGAAAGACAGTTAAAACCAGAATAGACACAGGGTCAAAGGAGGTGTTTTTGTTGCTGTTGTTGCTGCTGCTGTTTTTTTGGTTTGGGGATTTTGTTTTTTTTAGCATGTGAAAGAATTGAGCATATTTACTGCTTGAGGAGAAATAATTGGTAGAGTAAGAGGTTGATGATATACGAAAGACCAAGGACCAAGAAGATGGGAGCAGATGAAATGAAGAGCACAGGTAAGGGGCTGTCCTTGAACAGGACTAAGGCTGCCTCATCTTGCGAGCCTGGGGGAGGCTGGGAGACCGAGGACAGATGTAGGTCCTCCGTGAGGAAGAGAGTAGAAAGTTTAAGAAAGTTATATTTGATCTTTCCATCTCTCTTGAGAAGAGAAGAGACTAAATGATCTGCAGGAGAGTGAGGATGAGAAGTTTGGAGAAAAGGCTGGAGGATACTATGAAGCATTGGGACAATTTGTAATTGAAGGAGAAAGTGAACATAAGTAGAATTAGTAAAAAATAGTTGACAAAACACACTATAAGACTCCTAGAAGATAACACAGGAGAAAATCTAGATGACTTTGGGTATGGTGACACCTTTTTAGACACAATACCAAAGACACCATCCATGAAAGAAATAGTTTATAAGCTTAATTAAATAGACTTAATTATTATATTATAGACTTTAATTAATTATTTAATTAATTATTATTATTATAGACTTAATTAAAATTAAAAACTTCTGCTCTGTGAAAGACAATATCAAGAGAACTAGAGAACATGACACAGAGAGGGGGAACTTATTTGCAAAAGACACATTTGACAAAGGCCTATTGTCCAAAATAAACAGAGAATTCTTAAAACTCAATAATAAGAAAACAACCTGATTAAAAAATGGGCCAGGGGCCAGCCCAGTGGCCGAGTGGTTAAGTTCATGCACTCCGCTTTGGTGGCTCAGGGTTTTGCTGGTTCGGATCCTGGGCACGGACACGGCACCACTCATCAGGCCATGCTGAGGCGGCATCCGACAGAGCACAACCAGAGGCGCTCACAACTAAAATACACAACTCTGTACCAGGGGGTTTGGGGAGAAGAAGGAAAAATTGAAAAAGAAAAAGGGCCAAAGACTTTAACAGATGCTTCACCAAAGAAGACATACAAATGGCAAATAAGAATATGAAAAGATGCTCCATAACATACGTCATCAGAGAAATGCAAATTAAAACAACAATGAGATACCACTACACATCTATTGAAGTGGCCAAAATCCAGAA